CAACGATGGACTGGGGCAAGCCTCGGCCTCGACTGGGGCAAGCCTCGGCCTCGCCTGGGCCAGCCCGCGCTAGCTCAAGGCAGCGGTCGAGGCATTTCGAGCGTTCTTTCTCCGAGCGGCCCCCCGCAGCATCACTATATCGGGCCGGGCGAAAGGGGGGGATAGCAAAAGGGGAGGGGGGTGAGAATCAGCTCACGTAGCTGATCTTCCCGGCGCCGGAGGCGGCCATGTATCGAGGAATGGGCCCCTCGCGAGGGGGCCGAAACCAGCTGCATGCAGCAGATTTCGTCGGCGGTGGACAGACCTCCCTTTAGTAAACCTCCCCTTAGCGAAAACGGCCTGGGGCCGAAACCGACGGGCCTGGACCCGCAAAAATGACGGCCGCGACGCCGTCGCGAACCGAAAACGGCAAATTCCTCAATCGACGTGTCAGGGTAGGAGGTCCACTCCCGACTTCGTAACCCCCCCTTTCCCCATCCCCCCCTTTCGTCCGGCCCGAACCTAGACCCCCAGGACCATGCGGCCACGCTTCGACCGCCCGCACGGCCCGCGCGGCGCCGCCTGGGCCGGGCGGGCCAGGGGCGACCACGAGGACCGCCGCGTGGCCGGCCAGGGCACACGCCACGGCCCGCCGCCGCACCACGCGATCGAGCATGGCCTGCCCGGCACCGCTCCGCGCGCCGCAGCTGCGAGCAGCGCATCGCTGAGCCCGCCCGCCCGGCCACGCAGCGGAGCGTATCTCCTCCTCCTCCTCCTCCGCCTCCTCCTCCTCCTCCTCCCTCCTCCTCCTCCTCCTCCTCCTCCTCCCTCCTCCGGGCATGCCCCAGCAGGACCTGCGCAGTGCACGCCACGCTGGACGCCAGAGCAGCTACACATGGGCAGTGGTCACCACGAGGAGCGACGGCCCCGGCGGCTGGAGCCAACGGCACCACGACGCGCTGGGGGGGTGGGGTGGGATCGGCGATCGAGGATCGAAGGAAGGAGGCTCGAGGGAGGCATGATTTCAGCACGATCGGCGGCGAGCGAGGGGGGGAGAACCGAGAAGGGCAAAGCCTTCTTCGAAGGCTCGGAACCCCCTGGCCTTCTGAGAAACTTTCGAAGCCTTCCTCGACGACAGACCAAGTTTTGCAGAAGGCGCGAGTGGTTATGATAATTCCAGCCGCCCTCTGAGAAATCCCCCCGTCGCTCGCAGCCGGCACGACTCGGGAGAGGCGAAAACCAAACGGAACAAATCCATACGGAGTCCGAGCACTCCGTGCGGACTTACTCCGTGCTGCTGGAGGAGGCAAAGTCCAGGCGGAGTGCGTCCACACGGACACCGAACACTCCGTATGGACTTACTCGGTACGGATTTCGCATATTCCGAATAAGAGAAAAAACAACGTATGGATTTACTCCTCCTGGACTCAACAACCTTCGCACGGACTTAGCATCCTCCGTACGGACACCGAACACTCCGTATGGACTTACTCCGTATGGACTCAGGATCCTGAAAGAAAAGCGCCGCGGTTCCGGGGCGTTCCCCAAAAACCAATTCTTTATCCGGCTTGCCTGACGGTTCCAGGGCCCGTGGAGGGATCCCGGGAAGCCAAAAACACAGAAAAACCTCTGGACCCGTTCCCCTCAGGACCGAAATCTTTCTGGTAAAGGATCGAGGGAGAGAGGGTGGAGGGTCGATGAGGGCCTCGTTGACTCTGTGGTAAGTAAACTCCACCCCACCCCTGAAGGGGGGCCTGTCACTGAAAGATAAACATCGGCCTGTCATCAGCGATACATCGCCGGTAACTTGGCGATGGGCACCCGATAGCACATCCGCACGTTCCTAAGCAGAGTGGGCTAGCGGGCCCCTATCGGCGATGAGTGGGCGATTGCGGATCGTTGCGTCCCCTCTGGGCACCCTCCTCATGATCCTCGTCGTCTGGCTTTCGGGTCACAACTCGGCTCTCCGGCGGCCTTCGGGACGATCAGGACAACCCCGAAACGCCCTCGACGAGGCGCAGCTGCTGGAACGCACCACGAAGCTGGAACGCCCCCGAGAACTGACAAAACCGCTTGAAAATCCGCGAACTTCAAACCTCGTATACACACTGTGTAAACATGAACGCTTGGCGTTCCGCGTGGGTATCTTGGATCTGCACTAGGCACCCACCCTGGTGCGGCGCGGAGCGCGCCAGGGACGGCGCCGGGGGCGCCGCCGGGAGGGCCAAGCGCGGATCCGAAAAATACCGCGCCGAGCGTCAAACATTTATGTTTATGACGTTTTTTTTTTTCGAACGAAGCCCTGAACCCTGACCCCTAAACCCTTAAGTGCGAGCCGCGGGCTGCGCAACGTCCGTAACCCGTGACGCCTGGCCGAACGCCCAGCGACCCTGCCCATGCAGCGTACGCCGCACCGACGAAGCGCGTGGCGCTGAGGAGGAATTCGCTCGCCGCGCGCATGCAGCTCCGCTGGTTCGATCCGGCGAAAGAAACTCTTAACCCCCAGCCGCAGCAAGCGGCTCCCCCGCGGTCGGTTCATCCCACTGGGGCTCCAAACCTATAGAGATATAGCATGCGGCACTTTTCGGCCGTCCATGGGGCTGCGCCAGCGGTGTCCAAGGCGCTCCCACGCGTTTCAAACACCCCAAAACGCTTCCAAGCGTTCGCCAGCCGCTCCCAGGCGCTCCACGGCGCTTCCAGGCGGCGCTCCCAGGCTCTCGCAAGCGCTCCCGGGCGCTCCCAGGTGCTCGCCTACGCTCCTTGGCGTTCCTAGGCGCTCCCCCGCCATGCAGGTGTTGCCGCAGCCATACCCGCGCATCGTAGCGAGAGCGTGCCAAACCCACCCCCACGCGCGCCCCTTCCAGCTATACGAAGTTCGTGCCGAAGGCGGCTGCACTGATGAATGGGCGAATGTAATCACTTCAGCGGGGGCGAGGGCGACCCCAGCGGCGAAACCAAACGCCAAAAGCGAATGCGACTGCCGTGCGCATCGCCGTCAGCCCCCGTTGACTTCTGCGTCTGCAGCAGCCCCGCGGCGCACTTCAAAACCGAGTCCACGACGAGCAGCTCGGCAAGGCAGCGCGCCGCGCGCGTGCTATGAC